ACTATATGAGTCTGTTCTTGCACTGCTATAAGAAATACCCTAGATTGGATAATTCATAAAAAAAGAGGTTTAATTGGCTCACAGTTCTACAGGCTGTACAGGGAGCATGGTTGGAGAGGCCTCAGGAAACTTTCAAGCATGGCGGAAGGTGAAGGGGAAGCAGGCATGTCTTACATGACGCGATCAAGAGGAACAGAGAGGAGGGGGAGGTGCTACACTTTTAAACAACCAGATTTTGTGAGAACTCACTATCATGAAAACAGCAGGGGAGAAATTCACCCCTATGAATCAGTGACTTCCTGCCAGGCCCCTCCCCCAACATCGTGGATTACAATTGGACATGAGATTTGGGCAGGGCCACAAATTCAAACCTATCACTTACTATAGTAATGCACGTTTATTAGGTGTTTGCTAGGGCCTGGATTGTGTACGTTTCTATGTCATTCCTATGAAACTTGGATTTGTAGTTCATTCTGTATTTAGAATTTCATTTAACTGCCTTCTATAGCATTAAGTGGTACTTTTATCATCCAGATTATTTATTGAGAGGATATTATTTTTGAGGAAGATTATTAGGTAAATTATTTTATTTTTTCATCATAAATGAGACTCCCTCATTCTGTTATAAACTGCTCAGAGGCAGGAACATTGCCTGTTAACAGATGTACCTTACATACCTAGAACTGTGCTTGGCATATGTAGGCACACGATACTTCTTTGTTTTAACAAATGATTAAATTGATCTTTTTTGTTGTTTTGTTTTTCCAGAATTTATTCAACAAACCAACTGGAATGAATTCTTCTGTAGTGCCCTTGTCTCAGGGCCAAGTAATTGTAAGCATCCCCACTGGTTCAACAGTGTCAGCAGGAGCGGGTAACACCTCTGCTGTTTCCCCCACCTCCATCAGTAGCTCTGCTGCAGCTGGTCTCCAGCGTCTCGCTGCCCAGTCCCAGCATGTTGGGTTTGCACGAAGTGTTGTGAAACTCAAATGTCAACACTGTAACCGTCTTTTTGCCACAAAACCAGAACTTCTTGACTATAAGGTAAAGTATAGCATGTTCATGGTAAGATTTTGAGTGTACATGAGTGTATTTGTAAAATTATTTTTAACTTTGCATCTCTCAAAATTACACCATTTATTTTGAAAGTAAGGGAGATAAGGAGTTCCATAAGACAAACCAGATGTTTAATTCATACTTAATGATTATTTCTTTGCAGGGCAAAATGTTTCAGTTCTGTGGCAAGAATTGTTCTGATGAATATAAGAAAATAAATAATGTAATGGCAATGTGTGAATATTGTAAAATTGAGAAAATTGTAAAGGAGACTGTTCGGTTCTCAGGTGCTGACAAGTCATTCTGTAGTGAAGGTAAGGATTATCTTACATACTGAGCATGTTGATTGTTTTAAAAGCTTTGATGATTTAATCCTTCACTATCTAAGTTAATCTGTTTTATTCTTTATGTATAATATAAATGCCTTTTTGATTCATTTACACTTAGTTCATTCTTTTTGATCTAGTTATTTTTTATCTTACATAGTTGTTAAAATGAAGTGAAAGATTTGATGTGAAAAACATTTACCATCATTAGATTCCCCATTATTAAGTTGATGGGGACCTCAAGGGTCTTCTAGTTCTTGAACTTACTGCTAAATATAGTGCCTTAAATTGTGGTAACATCCTAAGTTTATATATTTTTTGTTTTAAACAGCCATTATGTTTCTGAATATAAGTGGCTCAGTTATGCAAATTAATATGTGAAAGATTGTTTTCCTTATTTAGATAACTATTCTATAAGTTTATAATTTTTTTTATTTACTCTAAAGTGGTGTTAAGTTAGCCTTCTAGAGCAGGGTCCTTCAAACTTTTTGATAACACAAAAGAAGAAATACATTTATACTGTGACCCAGTATATTTTCACACACCTAAATAAAACAAAAGTTTTTTTGTTTCTGTTTTTTGAGACAGAATCTTGCTCTGTCACACAGGCTGGAGTGCCATGGCGCGATCTTGGCTCACTGCAGCCTCTGCCTCCCGGGTTCAAGGGATTCTCCTGCCTCAGACTCCCGAGTAGCTGGGATTATAGGCTCCTGCCACCACACCTGGCTAATTTTTGTATTTTTAGTAGACACGGGGCTTCACCATGTTGGCCAAACTGGCCTTGAACTCCTGACCTCAGGTGATTCACCCATGTTGGCCTCCCAGAGTGCTAGGATTACAGGGTGAGCCACTGTGCCCAACCCCAAAAGTTTCATGAAACAAAACTGATGCAGTTTAATATTTTATCTTCTGTCCTATCCTGTCTTAAATCATTAAAAAAAAAATCTAGTGTAAATACTCTAAACTGATCTCTTGATCTGTGAACCTGTCAGGACCCAAGTGTGACAACTTTGTCCTAGGCCGTTTTTCTTTTTTGTTTGTTTTTGTTTTTGTTTTTGTTTGAGAAGCGGTCCTCCCGCCAGCCTCCCAAAATGTTGGGATTACAGGTGTGAGCTACTGCACCCAGCCTGTCCTAGGCCATTTAAAGATGCAGAAAACTAATATTTCTACCTAATGTTGATTTTATCTTTCCTGATGTTTAGGTTGCAAATTGCTTTATAAACATGACTTGGCAAAACGCTGGGGAAATCACTGTAAAATGTGCAGTTATTGTTTACAGACATCTCCTAAATTGGTACAGAATAATTTAGGAGGAAAAGTGGAAGAGTTCTGTTGTGAAGAATGCATGTCTAAATATACAGTTTTGTTCTATCAGGTAAATCACATTCCAGGGTTTTTCAAGCAAAGGCATAAATTATTCCCCTTTTAAATTTCATGTCATATAAAGGACAACTTAATTATTTAAAACTTTTAAGTGTTAAATGTTTTATGCCCTTTAGCAATTAATATAAGATTTAGAAAGACTAATGTCATTCAAGTTTTATTTCTTTTAATTTCCTGTAGGAGGCATATCACTAATGTCATTCAAGTTTTATTTCTTTTAATTTCCTGTAGGAGGCATATCATTCTTAAGACATTAAAATATTTAAACTTATAATTTTATTCATTTATTATTTAAATGAAATGAATTTGTCTTCTGAAGTCTTGGAGGAAGATATTTATTTTTACCACACTTTCGTTTTTAATTGCTGTAGAGTAAGGTCTGTATGTTACATGTTTTTTTAAAAACAATTATTTAGTATAAAATCATTGGTAGTCAAACTTTAATTTTTTGATCTAAATTCTAAGTTAATTTCCTCACTTATTGTGCGTGTCCTATTTTTATTTTGTCAGACCACAGATAATTTGTTTCTTACTCCTTGACTGCCTTCTTTTTTTTAGATGGCCAAATGTGATGCTTGTAAGCGACAGGGTAAACTCAGTGAGTCCTTGAAATGGCGAGGGGAAATGAAACATTTCTGTAACCTGCTTTGTATCTTGATGTTCTGTAATCAGCAAAGTGTTTGTGACCCACCTTCACAAAATAGTGCAGGTAAAATTAAACTTATGTACTGAATGGAGTCTTTGATCAATACTAGGATCTGGAACTGTGTAAACAGCAGTTTCATGAAACATCAGTTTTCTTGTATTCAATGTCATTAACATTTAGATTTTTTTTGTTGTTGAACACCTTAGATTAAAGCTGAGTAAAAATGAGGTTTTTATTAAATAGATTTCTTTGAGAATATTGAATCACATGAACTTTGTAAGAACTTAAGTTTATGGGAAATGATAACAGCTAATAGTTTGTAATTGAGTATAACTGGCTTACTTAAAAAATTTTTTAAGGCTACTTATAACAAAAGACATAAAGTCGAAGTCACATGGCTTTTTAAATATACCATATGCAGGCCAGGTGTGATGGTTCATACCGATAATCCCACCGCCTTTGGAATGCTGAGGTGGGAGGACACCTTAAGGCCAGGAGTTTAAGGGTGCAGTGAGCTGTGGCCACAGCACTGCAGTCCCACCTGGATGATAGAGTGAGACTCTGCCTCTAAAAAATTAAAATAAAACTATATGTCATGGGTGTGACTAGCTGGGGCCAATGTCACGGGCTGTAAAGGAATTTACCAAAACAGTTGTAGGTAAAGGCAGATTTATTAGAGAAAGTGTGAAAATATGTTGCAAAGTTGCAGTGAGCAGCACAGCAGAGAAGGGGGAGAAGTCTGCAGAGAGGCAGGGGCTTGAGGGAAGTTTTATAAGGTCCTGCCTGCTGGAGGGGCATACTTGCAGAATGAGGCCATGCTCCTGAAGGTACCTGTAGAAGATCATCTCTCAGAGTAATTATTTATTGTTCTCACTCTTTGTTGCTTGTTTATCAGAACTTATCTCATCAGGACTACACATTGTGTAACTTTATCATTTAAAAACCAACAACACTAGTATCATCCTGAAAGCTACAGGAATTTAAGTATAATCTCCTTACAAATAAAAGCAAAATCTTTAAGAGCCTACTCCAAAACTTAAAAAAACATTCTTTCTATATAAAGGCAAGATTTAAGAAAAACATTAGGCTCAAATATCCATTAAATCTACCCTGTGATCCTCATTGATACTATTTGGGGATTTGCATTGTTGGTTTTTTGTTTTTGTTTTTTTTTCTGTTGCATGCACTTAGGGCATACATTGTTGGTTTTTAAGTTAGACTGTTTGTTGCAATTTTATGTAAAGATAAGTAAATAGAAAACTTTCAAGTTTTACTAATTAAAAAGTAGAAAACCAAAACCCAGTTAATCCTAAAGTGACTTTTTACTCCAACAGAAATTACGCAAACCTGAAAACATTGTTTAACTTCCTTGAAATGGTTTCTGTGTAAGTACATATAAATCACACAAGGTTTTCTTATTTTTGTTTATTTTAATCAGCAAGTATTTCCATGGTTCAAGCTGCTTCAGTTGGACCCCCATCTCTGAGAAAAGATTCAACTCCAGTTATAGCCAATGTAGTATCATTGGCAAATGCTCCTGCTGCTCAGCCCACAGTGAATTCTAACAGTGTCTTACAAGGTATGTGTTGATTGGAAAGAGTTTATCTAGCCTATTTAAGTTGGATATAGTGGTTCTCTAACTTCCTTTCATCAGGGATTTTTTTCATATATTTGACACATTCATATTAGAAATGGTGGCTCACTGTACACGTTTCATATCTCTTGCTTTAGAATTACTAGTCTTATTAATTATATTATCACATGTTCTTAGTATGAGGGTTTGTGTTTATGTGCTGATAATCATCTTTTAATGCTAATGTTAAAATAATTGTAAAGATCCTAAATTTATGTTTTAATTTCTATCAAGGTGCAGTTCCAACAGTAACAGCGAAAATCATTGGGGATGTAAGTTTTATTACTTTCGTTGGTATTGTCATTGTATTTATTTTTCATTTTCATACATTATAAATATGAGCTAACTTTCCTTTATTATGTGAAATAGATTTCATTAGCTCATTTAATCTTTGTTCAGTAATAGGATTTTCTGGCTACTTAAATAGGTCTTTTATGTATGTTAATATCTTTGAATACTGACTATGTAGTTGCCGAAAGTTTTTTTAAAATTACACAGAATTGAAGTAAATTGTACAGGATTTAGTCATGAAAGACTTTTGGTTATTTTGTGATGTACTGAGAGTATAAATAAATTATTTATAAAATGTAGATTATCCTCCCCCCAACCCAGTACAGATTTTACTGCAAAAAAATTCCTTTCGGGCCGGGCGCGGTGGCTCAAGCCTGTAATCCCAGCACTTTGGGAGGCCGAGGCGGGTGGATCACGAGGTCAAGAGATCGAGACCATCCTGGTCAACACGGTGAAACCCCGTCTCTACTAAAAATACAAAAAATTAGCTGGGCATGGTAGCGCGTGCCTGTAATCCCAGCTACTCAGGAGGCTGAGACAGGAGAATTGCCTGAACCCAGGAGGCGGAGGTTGCGGTGAGCCGAGATCACGCCATTGCACTCCAGCCTGGGTAACAAGAGCGAAACTCCGTCCCCCCAAAAAAAAAAAAAAAAAAAATTCCTTTCTTGGCCAGTCACAGTGTCTCATGCCTGTAATCCCAGCACTTTGGGAGACTGAGGTGGGCAGATCATGAGGCCAGGAGATTGAGACCATTTTGGCCAACGTGGTGAAACCCCGTCTCTACTAAAAATACAAAAATTAGCTTGGCATGCTGGCGCACGCCTGTAGTCCCAACTACTCAGGAGGCTGAGGCAGGAGAATTGTTTGAACCCAGAAGGCAGAGGTTGCAGTGAGCCGAGATTGCGCCACTGCACTCCAGCCTGGCAACAGAGTGAGACTCTCTCTCAAAAAAAAAAAAAAAAAAAATTCTTTATTTTTTAAACTCATTAATATTTTCTGCTTTGTCTCTTAAAAGAAGAAAATAAATAATGAGAAAAACTTATGATTGAAACAGTGGCACTTTTAAAGTGTTTCTTCAGGTTTCTGGGATAACTTTCACATTGTCTTTATTCAAGTTACTTAAATGATCATAAGTGATTGTATTGTTCCAAGTTACCTTGAAACTAAGTCCTCTATGTCTTAATCAGGAAGTAAGAATTCTCATTTTAAGCTTAGCCAACATTGTTATTGATCAACAGTGTGTTACGATAGAAATGACATTTTTCTTGGTAGATAGAAATTGTGATTAGAGACATTCAAAGTAATATAGTCATTAAAACATTCCTTGATTACTATTAATATTTTAGGAATATTGTATTTCTCACACATTTGGTTGAATATTTACTTTGCTATGTCTTCCATGTAATTCCAATATGGTATTTATTTTACAATTACAATATTTCTTATAATTATGATAAGATTTTTAAAAATCTTTTTGGTTTCTAATTTATTTTTTTTACTAGGCAAGTACACAAACAGATGCCCTGAAACTGCCACCTTCCCAACCTCCAAGGCTTTTGAAGAACAAAGCTTTATTATGCAAACCCATCACGCAGACTAAAGCCACCTCTTGCAAACCACATACGCAAAACAAAGAATGCCAGACAGGTATGTTCCTTGGTCTTTCTTTTTTTAATTTTTTGAGGGAAAGAAATGTAGAATCTATTTACATTGAGTACCTGCTGTTTCCTAGGTGACGTGTTTGGTTCCTTGTATGCATTGCCCAATTTAGTTCTCACAGCATCCCTGTGAGTTAGGTATTTTCCCCATCTCTGGCTTAACACGTTGGGTCAAAGAGGAGGAAGTTAATCAGTGATACCAAACTGAACAAGTCATTTAATTCTCTTATTAATGGCAATGTAATATTATAGAGTAAGCATAAGGTTTGGAATTATAGGACAGGCTTGTAGGAGGCGCTGTTGTTTTCCAGGGTAACCTTAGGTTTGAACAGCTCCACAGTCTGTTTTTAGCTACTTCACACTGTTTCAAATGAAGTCAGTTCCTTTGAGGAGAGCTTAAGAGCTTTCTTTTTTTTTTTTTTTTTTTTTTTTTTTTTTTAAAAAGAACTGCCCCTCCTTCTAGGCAGAATCTCTGAGGCCTCTGTGGATGCTGGGCAGGGTGGTTGTCTCTGGCCTTCTTGGCTTGCCCCTCCTGACATGGAACTTCCATCCTACAAGTGAGCTGGGTTGAGGATGATCAGGATCCCAGTGATCCTGACCTGCTGTTCCTAGGGTAGAGCCTCCATCCAGTGGATGGAAACTGAGTTAAGGGAAGCCCCTGACCTCTTGGCCATACTCATCAGGAATTTAGCCTCTTCAGCTTTCAGTTGGAGTGAATAAGAAATGCTTGTGGTCTACCCTTCTTGATGAGATACGGTAACACTTGATTTGCAGTTGAGGGGAAAGAAGTCTATTTTTACTGGCCACAGTTACCCAGAGTGGAGTTTCTGTCAAGCTGAGCTGAGTTGAGCTGGGAGGATAAAGCCTGTGATAGCTGAAATGTCACAGACTCTCACTGTTCTTACCAAATTTTAACAGATTTTCTTGAATAAATGTTTCTTCATTTGGTGTATGCCTTTAGGACAATTTCCCAAGAATTTAAATGGCTGTTTTTAAATAGTCTTCACCCCCTTTGCTTGTTTCATTAAGGAATAGATCTTTGTAGTTCCTCATGCTGCCATCTAAAAGTCATAGAATTTTGGCTGGTGGGTGGCTCACACCTATAATCCCAGTAGTTTGGGAGGCTAAGGTGGTGGGAGGATCACTTGAGCCCAAGAGTTCAAGACCAGCACCGGCAACATAGTGAAAACGTCTCCACTAAAAATTTTTTTTAAAGTCTCAGAATTTTTAAACTAGAAAGAAATTGTTGATTTCTGGATCTGCAAGGCTATCCTGCCAGCCAGTGCTTCTCAAAGATTAATATGTACATGAATTATCCAGGAATTTTATTCAAGAATCCAGAATAACTAGATTCTTAGTCAGTGGGGCCTGAGTTTTTGCGCTTCTTAGAGGCTCCCAGATAAGTCAGTGCTTCTGGTCCATGAATCACACCAAATAGCAAAGCTATAAATGATTTAGTTCTTTTTTTTTTTTTTTCCAATAGCAATTTATTTAGTGTTGTGTAGTTTGGTTATCAGACATTTCTAAATCAAGTAACAATTTTTTTAATGTCCACTATATTATGTAAAGTTTATTGGCCAAGTGTGATGCTTCATGCCTGTACTCCCAGCACTTTGGGCAGCCAAGGCAGAAGGATCACTTGAGCCCAGGAGTTCAAGACCAGCCTGGGCAACATAGTGGAACCCTCATATGTAAAACAAAAGACAAAAAATTTATCCCATATTATTTTCCCACTTGTAATACATCTAGTCAAATTGTTAGCTTTTCTCTTTCTGTCCCTAGCATTAGCTTTCTCCTAGATTAATGTTTTTACATTTATCTAGCATATATTCTGACACATAGAAAGGACTCCATATGCTCCTCAACTTATAATGTTGTACCCATCATATGTTAAAAAAATCAACAGTCAAAAATGCATTTAATATACCCAACCTCTCAAACATCATAGCTGAGCCTAGGCTATTTTAAACATGCCCAGAACACTTACATTAGCCTACAGTTGGGCAGATAATCTAACCCATAGCTTATTTTACAATAAAGTTATGAATATCATGTAATTTATTCAGTGCTATACGGAAGTATGGTATGTACTTGTTTTTGCACCATCATAAAGTTGAATAATCCTGTATTGAACCATTGTTAATTTGGGGACTGTCTGTATTTGTTAAATAATGGAATGAATCCTCCATCATATTACTTTCTCTAAGGTTTTTTTTTTTCAAGTTCTATTTCATCCTTTTAATACTTAGAACATCTGCTGTATATATTTATTCTTTTTTGTAGATATCATAACCTAGAGTAGTCTTCCATCTTCTTAGCTCTGCATATTATAATTGCCTCCTACTTTAACAGTTGATATATTTTTATTCAGTGATGAAATTGTTGCCAAATTAATCTTTTTTGATGTCATTTTCATCACTACTTTGCGTTGAAAAAAATCTTCAGTGGCTCCCCACTATCTACTACAAATCATTTTAAAATGTACATAATAGCATGGGAGAAATGGCCCCCTCCATATTCAGTCTTCTCTTTAGCAAGTAGTTTTCCATGCCTGTCTTCTAGGATCTTTGTTTCATCTAAATTGTATCCATCTAATTTATATCAATCTATATTAGATCCTACATTCATTTTTCTCCTTGTATCACTGATACTTATTATGTTGCCCACTTTTTGTCAGTGCTGACTCAAGCCTTTTTTTTTTTCTAATTTAGTTATTTTTCCTTGATAAGAACTCCTACAGTGTCATAGGTTACTCTTGTTTTGAACTATAAACCTCCATAAGCCTTTTTATTTTGAAATCGTATTAAAATGTTTCTAACTCTCTTTGCTGTTTGTGATTTTGTTGTTGTTAGAAGACACGCCAAGTCAGCCCCAAATCATTGTGGTGCCAGTTCCCGTACCAGTGTTTGTTCCCATACCTCTCCATCTTTACACTCAATATGCTCCAGTCCCATTTGGAATTCCAGTTCCAGTGAGTAATCATTGAGAGATTAAAGCTAACTTGGCATGCATTTTCCTCAATTAAAATTGTATAGTTCTGTGCAGAAAGTTTTCATTTGATGGTAAAATATACCTGCTTTTCATTGGCTGTTATCATATTGTCATTATTACTTAACATGGATTATATAAATGACTACTTTTATTTGTATCTTTCCTTTTCAGAGAAGGTTATGATGTAGTTTTTTTTAAAAAAAGGTTACATACACAGACCACTTAAATAGAAAAAGATTGGAAATGGTGTATATTGAAATCCTGGATTCTAGCAAGGGTGAAGAGAATACTGTGATTTACATGAGTCTCATTTTTGATTAAAGAAAATGTGTTTTTTAATTACAGATTTATTTTTCCCAGGTTCTGAGTCCTTAAAGGAAACAATTATGAGAAAATTGTGAGAAATATAAGCAAAAACAAAAACAAAATGAAAGTGTATTATAGAATTATTCCTTTAGAGCATTCAGAGACATACTTTGTTGAATGTCCAGAGCACTTATTGAATGGATTCAGAGACATATTTTGTTGAATGTCCAGAGCGCTTATTGAATTTTTATTTAAATGGCTCTAGTCTTATAAAAACAAACTAGCAAGACTAGGTTAAACATCAGCAATGAATATATCTTAAATTTGTTTGCTATTTTTGTACCTAAATCATCTCACAAATCATTCTTTTGACCAGAAACCTGTTGCCTAAGAAAGTCTTCAGTCTATCCTTGGTCTTTCAGATGCCTGTCCCCATGCTTATTCCATCTTCAATGGATAGTGAAGATAAAGTCACAGAGAGTACTGAAGACATGAAGGAAAAGCTTCCTACACATCCATTTGAAGCTGATCTCCTTGAGATGGCAGAAATGATTGCAGAAGATGAAGAGAAGGAGAAGACTCTATCTCAGGGAGGTTGGTATAATCTTTAAAAGTAAAGAAAGAAAAAACACATTTTATACGTTTTTAGGTGACTCAAGTAATTTTAAGTATAAGACACGGTGTTTCTAAAACGTTTATTGTCTGTGCAAAACAAGTCTGTGGGGTTGATTAAACTTTTTAGTACTTCTGAAAGCTCTTATTGTTTTTATGAAGGAAAACTAAGTATTGGTATTCAATAGTTTTTAGTTATGATTTCAAAAAAAACTTAGAAATCAAGGTTTCATGATTATTTTCCAATTTTATCTTTATAATCAAAGCCATGTTCCTCACATAAGAATACCTGTTGTATAATCATCAGCATTCTGTGTATAATAGAACCTTAGGATAGAAAACCATTTGGCGCAAAATAACAGATAGATCTCAGACTAGTAGTGTGTAATAATGATAATAGCAGTAGTTAATGTTGTGTGTGCTTGGCATACTCTAGGCATTGTACTCAGTGCATTGTGTGCACTGCCTTATTCAGTCTTCATGCCAGCCTTATGGGGTGGGACGGAGGTACTGTGTACCTCAGATTTCTGATCTGGAAAATAGGATGTTAGACTTGCCTTGGTTATGCAGTCCAGAAGTAGTGGAACGAGAACTTGAATCCAGATACATCTGACTCCGAAGCACATGGTACTAACCAGAATTCCCATTAACAGTGGTAATCTGTTTAGCTGCATTTAATTTTGTTAATGAATTATTCCTTCTGCATATGAAGTCTGTTTACTTAGAACTCTGTAGTATGATTGATGTATATAGTGCAGTCATTTCATTTGAGTTATAATTTGTTGTATATACATATAAATTATGTGCTTTTCTTTTTCTTTAGAGTCTCAAACTTCTGAACAGGAACTCTTTCTAGACACCAAGATATTTGAAAAAGGTTTGTAGTTGCAAATATGTTGATTTTTCGAAATACTACTCTCTGTTAGTAATAGAAACCTCTAAAATAGTAGTACCCTTGGATTTCATATTTGTAATTTTAATTATTTGTAAGTGGTATCAGATGTCTATGAAGTGTACTAATTTCTAGTGAGAATAATAAAAGCCACATCAAATATTTGTTTTAAAGATTTATTGAGATAATGCTTTCAAGTGCCTACCAAAAATATGAATCCAGTTCTGTGAGGCTGATGTACAAGTTACTTCTTTTTTTTTTTTTTTTTTTTTTGAGACGGAGTTTCGCTCTTGTTACCCAGGCTGGAGTGCAATGGCGCCATCTCGGCTCACCGCAACCTCCGCCTCCTGGGTTCAGGCAATTCTCCTGCCTCAGCCTCCTGAGAAGCTGGGACTACAGGCACGCGCCACCATGCCCAGCTAATTTTTTGTAGTTTTAGTAGAGACGGGGTTTCACCATGTTGACCAGGATGGTCTCGATCTCTTGACCTCGTGATCCACCCGCCTCGGCCTCCCAAAGTGCTGGGATTACAGGCTTGAGCCACCGCGCCCGGCCGTTACTTCATTCTTGAGTGTACCTAGGTAATTGTCCATCAACCATACCTCATTATTTGGTATTCAGGGATTCAGAAAGTTTTCTGAGCATGTCAAGATGAGGCTTTTTTATTTTGAGGGCTTGTTTGTTATCCATATATTTCAGACCAAGGAAGTACATACAGTGGTGATCTTGAATCAGAGGCAGTATCCACTCCACATAGCTGGGAAGAAGAACTGAATCACTATGCCTTAAAGTCAAATGCTGTGCAAGAGGCTGATTCAGAATTGAAGCAGTTCTCAAAAGGGGAAACTGAACAGGACCTGGAAGCAGATTTTCCATCAGGTTTGTGTACAGTAACCTATCCCCTGAAAGTTTTGTATTTTAGAAGATTGGTACAACTCTGAATTGACACTGTTAAGCAGTGCCAGTTGTTACTGGTAATAACAGTATAATGTGTTAGAGATCATAATCTAGAGCACAAATGGACCCTGGCTTTGTAGGTACTAATTTATACCATATTGTTCTTATAAGTGCTTACTTTGGTTAAATTTGTTTTAACCTTTCCCACAGTAGCTTTTCTTGATTTTTAATGAAGTTTTCATTTATGCATTATATCTTTGGTTTAAGTCTATATGTGAAATTCTTATTTTATCACAAACAAACTAATGAATGTAGTGATGATTACCTGACATTTCTTTCCCAGTCTAAGTCTTTATTTAAATTTGTGCGTTATTTACCTTATATTATGCTTTCTGCTGATTATTATAGAATCCTTTGACCCACTTAACAAAGGACAGGGAATCCAGGCACGTTCCCGAACAAGACGACGGCACAGAGATGGCTTCCCCCAACCCAGACGAAGAGTAAGCTACAGCTTAACTTTTCTAGACTTTTCTTTCCTTCATTCTACAAACATTACTTAGTTCCCACTGCTTTCAAAACTCTGAGCAGAGTCAGGTAGTCCCATATGTTATTTTGCAACCTTGTAATTTTGTACATTTGTTTTTTGAATTCAAGAACCTGTCTTTTATTTACATTTCTTTAGTAGGAACTTTTTACCTTTTGTTTCTATACTTAAGAGTTTTCTTTTGTATTGCTTTGCTTACTTTAAAAAGCTTTTTATAATTTGGTTTTATGCTTTTCTCTTTTGAATAATCTCTAAATTTAGCTCTTTTTACATGTCATAATACTGAGTAGTTTACTATTTTTATAGTATAGTAAAATAGTGAAGTTCACCTGGCTGTTTTTCCACATTGACAGGGCTTTCCCATACAAAGTTGAAAGAATAATAGCCTTATTTTTAAAATTAGCCTTGTTGTATAATGATTACATTAAAATATTTGTAAGTTCTAAGTGTACATTTTGATGGGCTTCAACTGATCTATATGATATGTAATTAGCACCACAATCACAAACAATTCCACTTTGCAGGAAGTTCCACTATGACCTTTTTCAGTCAGCCCCTCTGGCTGCTGACAGCCACTGATCTGCTGTACAGATTGATGCAAGATGCCACTGCTTTGCCTTTTCTGAAGTTTCACATGAATAGAATCCTATAATATGTAGTTTTCTGTGTTTATTTCACTTAGCATAATGCTTTGATATTCATCCATGTTATTTCGTGTCCCAGTAGTTAATTCCTGTTTATTTCGGAGTAGTATTTAATTGTATGGACAAACTACAATTAGTTTAGCTATTTAACAGGTGAGAAAAATTTGGGTGGTTTCCAGATTGGGGCTACTTTGAATAAAACTTACTCAAAATGCTATGAACATCTTAGTATAAATCTTTGTGTGAACATATGTTTTCATTTCTCTTGAGGAAAGAGATCTAGGAATGAGATTGCTAGGTTTTTATGCTATGTTTATTTTTAACTTTATAAGAAAGCTGCCAGACTGTTTTCCAAAGGAGATGTACCATTTTGCATTCCCACCAGCAATGGATGAGAGGGTTCCATCTGCTCCATGACTTTGCTAACACTTGGTATTGTTGATTTTTAATTTTAGCCATTCTAGTGAATGTATAGTGGTACCTCATTATGGCTTTAATTTGTTTTTCCCTAATGGTTAATGATGCTGAGCATCTTTTCATATATATATTTGCCATTCATGTGTCTTCTTTGGTAAAGTGTTTATTCACAGTTTTTATACAGTTTTTTCATTTTTTTATTGGGTTGGTTGTCATCTTGCTTACTTGTAAGTATCCTTTACTGTGGACATAATTTATCAAATCAGAGTTTTGCTGTATACTTAAGTGAAGTATAGAGTTTTGCTCTGATTTGATAACAGAACAAAATTGATAAAATTTTATCAATTTGTTATTTTATGGATCATGCTTTTTAATACCTCATCTAAAAATGTTTGCCTAACTCATAGTAACTAAGACATTCTCTATGTTTTCTTCTAGAAGTTTTATAGTTTTAACTTTTGTGATCTATTTGAGGTAATTTTTATATATGAGTTGAGGCAGGGGTCAAGGTTCATTTTCTACATATGGGTATCCAGTTGTTCTAGCACTGCCCTTGGAAAAGACTATTCATTACCCATTGAATTACATTGGCAACTCTGTTAAAAGTCAATCATATATGTATGTGTCAGTCTGTTTCTGAAACTCTCTATTCTGTTCTATTGATTATATGTCTGTTTTTATACCAGTACCAACTGTCCTGATTACTGTGATTTTTACAGTGAGCCTGGAAATTAACAGTATAAATCCTCCAGCTTCGTTCTTCTTAAAATTGTCATTTACATGTCCATATACATTTTAGAATCAACTTGTCAATTTCTTTAAAAAAAAAAAAAAAACCTGCTAGAATTTGAGTTGGGGCTGTCCTGAATCCAGAGAGAGAATGGACATTTTAGGAATTTTGAGTCATCTAATCTGGAAACATGGTATAGTCCTCCGTTACAAGTCTCCGTATATTCTGTTAAGTTTCTTTCATAAGTATTTAAGATATTTTGATGTTGTTGTAAATAATATTATTTTTGAATTTCATTTTTCACTGAGCACAGTGACTCACACCTGTAATCGTAACCCTTTGGGAGGCTGAGGCAGGAGAATTGCTTGAGCCTAAGAGTTTGAGATTAGTCTGGACAATATAGTGAGAACCCATCTCTACAAAAAAATTTAAAAATTAGCTGGGCAGGGTGGCACATGCTGGTGGTCCCAGCTACTTGGAGGGCTGAGCTGGGAGAATTGCTTGAGCCTAAGGGGTCGAGGCTGCAGTAAGCCCTGATCCTGCCACTGCCCTCTAGTCAGCGCAACAGACTGAGACTCTGTCTCATAAAAAAGAAAAACAATTTCATTTTTCAGTGTTCCTCACTAGTATGTAGAAATACAGATTTCTTTTCTTCTACGATATTTATCTTAGAAATGAAAAAAAGAAATACAGGTAATTTTCATGTATCTACTTTATGTCCTGTGACTTTGCTCAACTAAAATCCTTAGGATTTTCAACCTAGACAATCATATTATCTGTGAATAAAGGTTTTACTTTTTCCCTTGTAATCTGAATGCATTTTCTTTCCTTCTTTTTCTTATTTTATTGAACTAGCTAGTATCTTCAGTACAATGTTGAATATTAGTAGTGAGAGCAGACCTTTTTGCCTTATTCCGAACCTTGGGGTGAAAAAAGTCTTTCAGCAGTAAATATGGTGTTACCTGTAGGTTTCTTTCTCATCAGTCATTTCTATCAGGTTGAGGAAGTTCCCTTCTACTCCTAATTTGCTGAAAGTTTTTGAAATAATGATTGGGTATTGAACATCATCAGGTGGATTTCTTGCATCTTTTGAGATGATTGTCTGGTTTTCCTTCTTGTAAGTCTGTTAAAATGGTGAAATACATTAATTTTTTTCAAATGGTTAATCTTCCATTCCTGGGATAAACCCTACTTTTTTCTATATTACTTTTTTTGTGTGTTGCTGAATTTGGTTTGCTAATATTCTGTGGTTTTTTTGTTTGTTTTCTTTTTTGAGACAGAGTCTCACTCTGTCACCCAGGCTGGAGTGCAGTGCCATGATCTCAGCTCACTGTAACTTCCACCTCCCAAGTTCAAGCAATTCTCCTGCCGCAGCCTCCCAAGTAGCTGGGATTGCAGGTGCCCACCACCTTGCATGGCTAATTTTTGTATTTTTAGTAGAGATGAGGTTTCACCATGTTGGCCAGGCTGGTCTTGAACTTCTGGCCTCAAGTGATCCACCCACCTCAGCCTCCTAAAGTGTGAGGATTACAGGCGGGAGCCACTGCGCCTGGCCCTGTGAAGGTTTTAAGTGTCCTTGTTCAAGAGGGATCTTTATCTGTACTGTATGACTGGTTTTGGTATTAGAGTAATGGTGACATTATACAATTAGTTAATGTTTCTTTTTCTTTTATTTTCTGAAATACAGTTTATGTAATTTCTTTAACTATGATAGAATTTAACTATAATGGAATTTAATCCATCTGGAAATGGAGTTTTTGTGGGAAGGTTTCAAGCTATAAATGCTGTTTATATGGCTATTTAGGTTATCTGTTTCTTCTAGAGTAAGCTTAATTAATCTTTCAAGAAGTTTCTCCATTTCATCTAAGTTGTTCAACTCATTGATATGAGAGTCACAAGTGATCTACCTGCCTGGGCCTCCCAAAGTGTTGAGATTATAGGCGTGAGCCACCACACCAAGCCTGGGTTTTAATTTGGATTTTCTTTTATAGTTTTTTTGTTTGTTTGTTTGTTTGTTTGCTTGTTTGTTTTTGAGACGGAGTTTCACTCATGTTACCCAGGCTGGAGTGCAATGGCGCGATCTCGGCTCACCGCAACCTCCGCCTCCTGAGTTCAGGCAATTTTCCTGCCTCAGCCTCCTGAGTAGCTGGGATTACAGGCACACACCACCATGCCCAGCTAATTTTTTGTATTTTTAGTAGAGACGGGGTTTCACCATGTTGACCAGGATGGTCTCGATCTCTTGACCTCGTGATCCACCCGCCTTGGCCTCCCAAAGTGCTGGGATTACAGGCTTGAGCCACCGTGCCCGGCCTGTTTGTTTGTTTTTAGACAGGGTCTCACTTAGTCACCCAGGCTGGAGTGGCATGATTATGGCTTATTGCAGCCTCAACCTCTCGGGCTCAAGTGATTCTTCCACCTCAGTCTCTCAAGTAGCTGGACTACAGATGTGTGCCAACACACCTGGCTAATTTTTAAATTTTTTGTAAAGATGGGGTCTTGCCATCATGTTGCCCAGGCTGATCTTGAACTCCTGGGCTCAAACAGTCCTCCCACTTAGGCCTCCCAGAGTGCTGGCATTAAAAGTATGAGCCATTACACTTGGCCTTCCTTTTCTAGTTTCTTAATTTAGAAGCTTAGGTTATGGATTTTAGACTTTAAAAAATTTTTCTTATTGAAATATTTTAATACTACAAATGTCCTTTTAAGTACTGCTTTAGTTCTATCATCACAGAAATTTTGGTAAATTTTATTTTCATTTTCCTTTAAGTTCAAAATGTTTTGTGATTATAATTGTCCTTTCTTCTTTGACCCATAAAGCTGTTTAATTTATGATTTTGTAGGATTTTTTGGACACTATTTATCATTGGTTTCTATTTTAATTTCACTGTAGTTAGAGAATTTGTTGAGGCTTGTTTTAGAGCACAGAATATGATCTGTTTACATGTTTCATTAATTAGACCTGAGTGGTAATAATAGTTATTCATACCTCATTATAGGTGTCTATATCTGGAATATGTAAATAAATACCCAAAAGTTAGTGATTACTACAGTGTGCTCTTCTATATTTAAACTTTTTCTTTCTTTCTTCCTCATATGCATTACATTAAATAATTGCTTAAGCCCTTTCTTTCTTGCTCTAAGAACTCTGAATCTTTAGGATATAAAACTAAATTCCATATTCTACAGAATTTATACCCTTTCCAGCTTTGAGAACCCTGATTAGTAAAAGTCCAAAACTAACTTTTATGTTCTGTAAATTTTTCGAATTCTTGCAGGGACGGAAGAAGTCTATAGTGGCTGTGGAGCCCAGGAGTCTTATTCAAGGAGCTTTTCAAGGCTGCTCAGTGTCTGGGATGACACTGAAATACATGTATGGGGTAAATGCCTGGAAGAACTGGGTTCAGTGGAAAAACGCCAAGGAAGAGCAGGGGGATCTAAAATGTGGAGGTGAGTGCACAGCATGAATTGTGTCTTGATTTAGGTAGGGGAAATATACAGATAATCTACTGAAAAGGGACACATTTTAGGTCAAAAGCCCCATAAAACTGGTTTGGGCTATACTTAATTTTTTCTGCATTTTTATTTAAACTTTTCATTTATGTTTCTCTCCCTGTTAGGGGTTGAACCTGCCTCATCTAGCCCATGTTCTGACCCCTTAGGAAGTACTCAAGACCATGCACTCTCTCAAGAATCCTCAGAGCCAGGATGTAGAGGTAAAATTTGTTTCTTTCTATTTGGTATAAATTATTTGTATTATTATTGCTGTTTTAAATTTGTAAATTGAATGTTTAAAATTATTTAAAATTTGGAGTCTTAAGGTTAGAAAGAGAAATTCATCTTATCCCCCGTTTTAAGGATGTTGAGGGTAAGGTTACGTCTTCTGATCTTGAGTTTATTATGCAAATATAAGGAATTTTGTTTCATTTTTGACACTGTGCAAGTGCCTCAAAATAGTCTTCTTGAGCCCTGTGTCTGCATAGTAATCCATGTGGGCCTCAGTGTTGCTGTTTTTTTAAGAAAATACCTGGAAACTGTAGGAGTTTTTCCTTACAGTGAGATCTATATAACTGACCATGTTTGTGAGTTTCACTTCACTTCAGCTGTCAGGAAATTTAGGATTATATGAACCCTTCAAATAAAGCATCAGTTTATAATTCTAAGGCCCACGTTAGTTTTCATTTTTCACGACTTTTGACACCCTATTCTAAGTTTTTGTTTCACTTTATCTTTCGCTTTTTCTTTGTGTTTTATGTAAGATACTTGTACAATCTTTATTGAATGAGCTGGGGCAGAATGGATGAGTATGTCCATGTAACTTGATTTATTCCCCTTTCCAACTATACCTTCTTTTTGTCTTATGATGATTGTATGCACTCTTGGCTTCGCTGCAGTCTATCCTGTTGGTTTTGGGGCACATGTAACTGTTCTTATTGGAGCACTTAGTTGCTGCTGTGGGTTGTGACTAACTCACTGAGTTTCTGTAGATCAAGTGTAATCTGTTTGCTCCAAGGCTGTGCAAATGTACTCCTGTTGTGGAGATTTAGTAGGCCATTAACCACCTAGTAGCGTGTTTTAAGTTAAAAAAGCAACCTGCTGGGTGCAGTGGCTCGTACCTGTAATTCCAGCACTGTAGGAGGCTAAGGCAGGAGGATCTTTTGAGCCCAGAAGTTCTGAGGCTGCAGAGAGCTGTGATTGCACCATTGCACTCCAGCCTGAGCATCAGAGTGAGACCCTGTCTCTAAAAAAAATAAAAATAAAACCAAAAAAGTGGGGGAAGGGTGATAGTGAAAAGGGAGAGGTAATACAGCTTTAGACTACTAAGCCTAAACGCAAAAAAAAAAAAAATGCAGTTGTTA